CCCTAGACCCATCCCTCCCCTTTCCCCAAAAAAAAAATCCCAGGGGAAAAAAAAAGCCACAGTTAACCCTTCCACTCATGCAAACCAGCAAAGATAAAAGGTGGGGGCATGTGGAAGGCAGGGGCCCACAGTGGAGTCCCCTACTTGTCCCCCAAAAAACCACCTTTGAGAAGAAAAAAAAAGGAAAAAATAAATGAGAAATCAAGGGAGTTATGGTGTGGGCAGGGGTGACCCCAGAGCTGCCTCAGGAGAGCGGAGGCCTGGGGCCTGCCTCCCCCAGCGGGTGCTCCCGGAGGGCAAGCCTGGCTTCTGGAATGTGTGTGTGGAGATGGGGGAGGCGCCCCCGTGGGTCTGTGTGTGCGTTGGGGGCGGGCAGGGCCAGGGATCCTAAGGAGCAAGGGCCCAGGACCAGGAGCCTGGCTCCCCCCAGACCCAAGGTTCCTGGGGTTCAGGAGCCCAGTTCTGGGGTGCAGGATACATGCAGGGGAGTGTCCCCCCTCCAATGGGCTGGATCCGGTTAGAAAGGAAATAAATAAGAAAGGGTGGGAGGGAGGCTGGGAGTGCGAACGGCTTGGGCAGTTCAGTCCAGACCAGGGGCCCAGGCGACGGAGGCGGCGAATCCAGGCCACGCCCGGGCAGGAGTCAGAGTCTCTCTCGGGCTGGGACCCAGATATAGGGGCCTGAGAGGTCCTCGATGACGCGCTTCACCTTGTGGTAGATCTCCTCAAAGCTGTCGCCCTCCACGATGGCTAGTGGGGGGGGGGGGGGGCGGGGGGGGGGGGGGAGGAGCCAGATGAGCCAGTTGTCTGGCCAGGGGTGGCAACAGCCCAGAGAAAGGGGCACCTTTTTCTAACTCTCTAAGCCGTAAGCCCTGCGGTTGCACCCACCCAAAGGGGGCACCTGCTTCTAACCATCCCCCGGCGGTCTCCACGCCCCTCTCCCACTGCCCTGCGACCTCTGCCCTCTGAACCTGGGCAGGGGCGCCGCGTGCGGTAATGGCTCACCGGAGAAGCACTCCGTGAACTCCTGCTCCAGCTTGGTGGCTCTGTCGAAGGCTTTGCGGGCTTGCTCCTCTGTGATCCGCTTATTGATCTCTCTGTGGAGAGTGAGAGAGAGACACGCCTGAGGGTGGGTCCCCCTCTGCCGTTTATCTCCTCCATCCAGGGGTGTTAAATGGCAAACGGTCTTTTCTCATTTGGAACACGAAGCAAAAAAATAAGAATTCCCAACATCCTCTGGGGCCACAGATGGCTGCCCCTACCCGCAACCCACCAGCCGGTATGGCCACTCCAGGGACCTCTCCAGAGCCTCATCCTCCCAGCCTTCAGCCCCAGTGAAGGGACTCAGACTCCAACTCCCAGCAGCTCTGGAGGCCCTGGCTAGCCCAGCAGGTGTGTGCCCCAGGGGCTGCTGGGAGTTGTAGTCCTGCCTAGTCCAAGGAAGAAGAAGAGGGGAGAGGCCTGAGATTCCTGCATCCTCTGGGATCCAGCTCTCTGTGCAGATTCCCCTCAAGGGCTGCTGGAACCACTGCCCTGGGTTAGAGGGGAGAGTTCAACACAGAGGCCTTGCGAGGCCCAGGGCAACAGGTGTGGGGGAGTGGAGGGGAGGCCCCCTGGGACCATACTCACAGCACATTCTCCAGGGAGCGGGGGCGGATGAAGATGGCGATAGGGTGCAGGTGGGCCGCCTGCAGCCGCCGCACAGCATTGGCTGAGACATCAAGGATGCAGTGCTTCCCCTGGGGCAGGCAGGGTAGGCGGAGGGGGACCAGCAGGTGGCGGGAAAGGACAGACAGAGGTACCAGGACAGGACACAGTACATGGAAAGGCAGGAAACAGGAGGTTGGCCAAAAGGGAAGTGACACGGATGTCAAAAGACACATTGGCAGAGAGTCAAGGTGAGAAGGGGGTGTGGACAAAGTGACAGACAGAGAGAAAGAGGGAAGGAGCAGACAGAGCGAGGGAAGGGCCAGCACAGGAGGAGGGGGTCGGAGAGATGGAGGAGGGTGAGAAACAGGCAGGGGGGAGACCCCGAAGAAGAGGCAGAGCAAGGCAACAGGGCAGAAGAGGGTGGGGGGATGGAAGGTGGGACCGGACAGATGGGGCAAGAAAGCAAAGGAAAAGAAGAGAGGAAGTAGGATAGAGGGAGGAGGGAGGGGAGGACGGACAGAGGACAGACAGATGGAAGGAACCAGGAGAGACAGATGGGAGGGAGGAGAGGCAGATGGAGAAAGGATCGGTGGAGGGAGAGAGGGCAGGGTGGGGGCAGCATGGAAAGGAGGTAGCAGAGGAATGGGAGAGGGAAGTGGGGACCCCAGGAGCAGAGGAGGGGACAGGGCCAAAGGGGAGTCAGGCCGAATGGGGGGGACCGAGGGAGGGGAAGCCAAACCACCAAGGGCAAGGCCACAGGAAGCGAGGAGAAATGGGGCAAGGAGGAGGGAAGGGGGGAGAGGGGCCAGATGGCGGTGCGGGGTTTGGGGTCAGGACGCAAAGGAGGCCGGCAGGAGGAGCGGCACAGAGAGCAGGCGGTCAGACAGAGTTGCCCAAGAGGAGAAGGAGGTGGAGGAGTGGAGTCGAGACCCAGCAGGGAAAGAGACAGAGAGAAAGAGAGTTAGAGAGAGCTGGAGGAAGGCCATGGGGTGGGGAGAGGGGAGGAAGAGTGCGAGGTGCCCGCCGGGTCCTACCTGCTCTGCCACCTCCCGCACGGACTGGACGCTGGTTCCATACAGGTGGCTGTTGTACTGGCCGGCCTCAATGAACTTGTGCGCTTGAATGTCCTTCTCCATTTTTTCCCGGGATGACACAAAGTGGTAATCCCGGCCATCTATCTCATACTCCCGCTTGGGCCGTGTCGTATCTGCCAGGAAGTCACCCCGCCCCCCAAAGATCTAACCACCATCCCTCTAGCTCCCAAGCTGTCTATGTCAACCCCTCCAAGTGCTCAGCCGGTCCCTCCGGGGAAGGGACTGCAGGGGAGACCGAGACCGAGGGGGACAGCCCCTCCCAGCACCCTCCGCCTCCATCCTCCGAGTCTCTGGCCTCCAATGGCAACATGCATGGCACATGGGAGGGCTGAGAAGCACCCCTTTTCTGAGAACCCGTGTCCTCCTGCATGCCAACAGTGGCTCTGCCCCACCTCCCACCCGTGCCCCCCCACTTCCGCCTCCATCCCAGCCCCAGCACTCACGGGGAACACAGGATCCAAACTTGTCGGGGAACTCAGAGAGAAGGTCGTCGTTGGCACGGTCCTTGGTGGGCCCGAGGATGATGATGGGGCGAGCATAGTGCACTGGGGAGAGAGCGCTGGCTCAGCCGGGGACAGAGCCAGGAGCGGCAGGGGCTGGGCCACGCCGGGCGGGGCTTACCTTCCATCTGCGTCACTGTCTCGTAGCTCAGAACCGAGTCTTCCCGACCTGGTGAGAGGTGGGTCACTGTCAGGGGCTCTGAGACAGGGGACTCGGGCTCCCTGTTGCCTTCCTGAGGACATCAAGCAAAGCTCAGGGCTCCCCTCACCCCAGGTCTTCCCAAACTGACCCTACCTACCCTGCGATCCAGAGCTGGAGCCCCAATCCTAGGAAGAAAGAGCAGGTCACGTGGTTGGTTGAGTTCACCCCAAGAGTCCCTGACTCTTCCACCCAAGCTCACCCCACTTCTACCTACCTTGGCCTTTAACCTTGACCACTCCCGTCGCTCAACCCTATGGGAAACATGGAGGAAGGGGGGATAGGGAAATGTCCGGTGAGGAGCCCTACAGCCCCCAATCACTAGACCAGCTCATAACCCCCTCTCCCAGCAGGCCCTGGGCCCCTGGGCCCCTGTGCTCCTAAATGAGATGTCTGCCCCAAAGGCTCATGGGAGCTATGGTGCCGGGAGGGCCAGCAGACAGATTCCCAAGAGGGCAGAGGGCACCTCCACGTCCTATTGGCTGCCCACCCGGGACCTCGGGAGAGGCGGTGCCTGTGGCAGGAAGGCTGAAGGCCTGGGAGCCTCACCGCCGTTTGCTGGGAATAAAGCCAATGTCGTCGGTCTCGCTGTCCGAGTGAACCCGCCGTGCCTGCCACCACTCCTCATCACTGGCATCGATGACATGCAGCACGTCCCCAAAGTGGAAGCTAAGGGCCTGGCTCAGGAATCCGCAGTCCTTGGTCTTGTCGTAGTCAAACAGGGCCCTGGAGGACAGACGGCCACCGGTCAGAGCCTGGCTGAGGACCCCAGCCACCGAGGCCCAGCTCAGCGGGCAGGGGCAGGGGTCTACAGCAGAGCACGCTGCCATGGCGCTCCCCCGGGGGCTGGGGTCTAGCAGCCCAGAGCTCTGGGGGACCAAAAGCTCTGCTGTTGCTCACGGTCATTCAGTCAACGCTGTGTCCGCGATCAGACAAGCCATGGAGTCAGTGCAGTCTCTCAGGTAAGACGGGAACCCCACCCTCCCGGGGAGGCAGTCAGCACGTCACAGTTACAGAGGTAACCTGGAATCGCTCAAGTTCATAGGAAAAACAACACGCTGCAGACTGGCTGCCTTAACACCTCAAATCCCTGCCAAGAAGCCCTAACCTCTGCGGTCAGGGCAAGGGGAGGAATGACCACGGAGAGAGCCACGATGGAGAGCAAGACAGCGGGACGGGAGGAGAGACGCGGGGTCAGCGGCATGCACAGTCACAGAGGCAACCTGGAATCGCTCAAGTTCATAGGAAAAACAACACGCTGCAGACTGGCTGCCTTAACACCTCAAATCCCTGCCAAGAAGCCCTAACCTCTGCGGTCAGGGCAAGGGGAGGAATGACCACGGAGAGAGCCACGATGGAGAGCAAGACAGCGGGACGGGAGGAGAGACGCGGGGTCAGCGGCATCACCTGTGAGTCAGCACTGACCAGCCTGCAGCCCCGAGACCTAGCAGGGAGGGAAGGGCCGAGCAAGGCTCTGGTTTGAGCGGGTCACTGGTGGTGCCATTCAGCAAAAAAGAGAGAAAACACTGACTCGGCGAGACAGCCAGCACAGCACACAAGAGGAAGAGATGAGCTGTCTGGGACGTGTTGAATGTGAGATGCCTGTGGCACATCCCCGGGGACGTGTCCAGAAAGCAGATGGCCAGATCTGCAGGTCTGAACCGGGGAAGAGGTCGGGCCAGAGCTGACAGCTCTGAGAGCCACAGAGTGGAGAGCAGACCAGACCAGGTGAGTGGACGGGAGCCCAGAGGGAGAGGAGAGAAGACAGACGCCTGGGGAGGGCGAGAGAGAGGCGGCCGATGGGAGGAGCCCGGAGAAGGAGAAGGAAGTCAACGCTACTGAAGAGACAACTGACACGAGAGAGCTCAGCGCACCTCCCCTGGACTGCACCTCCCAGAGGGAGATGCAGGCTGGGCAACATTCGGAGTAGCCAGGGGCCCTGTTCTGGCACTAACCTTTGAGTTAGAAAATGTGGGGCAGCTGGGCGGGAGGGGGCGGTCCTAAGGGAAGTGTCAGGGTAAGGGGACTAGAGGAGCAAGGCTGCTTGAGGCCCAGGCTCTTTTTCAGGTGACAGGGAGTATTTAAAACACTCATCTGTGCAGCTGAGCCGGGAACACAGCTGATGTCGGGGCTGGAGGGGCAGTGGGAGCCAGACCGGGTTAGAGGAAGAGCTGTGTGGGGCTGGGGGTCCCAGAATGAGGAGGAGCCGAGCCCAGGAATCCTCCCACCTGATATAGAAACCCCTTTTGGGGTTGCTCCGCAGGGAGGCGGTCCCTGAGCCCAGGCTGCTGTTCATGAGCTGCTCCCGAAGGTCGTGGATCTTGGCCTCGAATCGGCTGTACTCTGAGGAAGAACAAGCAGGCTCCTGAGCTCTGGCCCAGTCCCACTGCCTCCCTGCCTCCCTCCCTCCGTGCCCACTGAGGCCAGAGCTGAGACAGGGTCCGGAGGACCACCTTAGCCCCCAATGGCGGGGCTGCAGGCCTGGTACCTTCTGGCTTATACTGAGCGATGATCGTGACCGTCTGCCCCGCGTTCTTCAGGGCGATGGCGGCCTGCTCGTGGCTGGCATTGCGGAGGTCAACGCCATTGACCTGGAGGGTGGAGGAGAGGCTGGGTCACCGGAGAGGAGGGCCAGGCTCTGGCCGCCCAAGCCCCTGCCCCAGAGCCCTGGGCCCTGCCGTGAGGGGAGCGGGTGGTGCGGGCAGGGGCTGGCCTTCTCTCACCGAGAGGATCTGGTCCCCCTTCCGCAGCTCCCCACTGAGGTCCGCAGGGCCCCCGGCCAGGATGAAGGAGATGAAGATGCCTTCACCGTCCTCGCCCCCGACGATATTGAAGCCCAGGCCCGTGGAGCCGCGGTGAATGACGATCCGCCTCGGTTCTCGGGGAATGTCTTCCTCCCCCAGCAGGTCCTTGGCCACTGGGGAGTAGCGCCGGGGGGACGTGGGGGTCATGGCTGTGGGGTAGTCCGTGCCCAGGTAGCTGCTGTGGCTCATCTCGTTGTCCAGGTGCTGGGAGTAAGCTGAGGGAAGACGCAGGACAAAGGGTGACACGGAAATGCAGGGAGTAGACAGCAGCCACCACCCCTGCTCCCGGGAACCCGGGGAGCGGGACTCGGTGAAGGGGAAATGATTCTGGCAGATACACAGGGGGTGGGAATCAGATCGCAGCGGTGCCGGGGCAGGAATTCACAGGTGTCCCCGGCTGGTTCTCCTAGGACTTAGGGGGCCATGGGTGTGCGGTGACATGTCCTAGGAGTGAAGGACGGTGGGGTCAAGGGGAATATTAACCCCAGGCTCTTGGGGTTTTCTTTCAGTTGCAGAATCTCTTCGTCTAGAACATTCCTCTCCCTCTTTTCTTTTCCTCCTGGCCATCCATTTGGGAAAAACAAGGTCATTGTCTAACAGAGGTCCCCTCGTCCTGTCAGGAAAATCTCATAGGGCAATCGCTGCTGCACCCCATGGTGCGAACATGAGCCCCTGCCTGGTATCTGCTGCAAACTGGTCATTCAGACGAGAGACTCAGATTCAAGTTCAACTTTTTAGCAAGAACCCTTCCTAGATGGTGCTATGTACTTTCCACTGCCATGGGTGTGCGGTGACATGTCCTAGGAGTGAAGGACGGTGGGGTCAAGGGGAATATTAACCCCAGGCTCTTGGGGTTTTCTTTTGGTTGCAGAATCTCTTCGTCTAGAACATTCCTCTTCCTCTTTTCTTTTCCTCTTGGCCATCCATTTGGGAAAAACAAGATCATTGTCAGGGACATCTCATAGTGTAATCACTGCTTGCACCCCATGGTGCAAACATGAGCCCCTGCCCGGTATCTCCTGCAAACTGGTCATTCAGACGAGAGACTTAGATTCAAGTTCAACTTTTTAGCAAGAACCCTTCCTAGATGGTGCTATGTACTTTCCACTGCACGTGACAGGGCCACGTGTCCTGTTGTCTCTCCGTTACTAGACCAGCTGGCAGGCTCCGGGGATTCAGCATCCCGCCTCGGAGTGTCCGCAGCCCCAGTGAGCGCGTCCTGGTTCTAAGGTGTCACTGGGGATAGCAATATGGTGACGTTCTACTGTCTTTACTTTTTTCTTTTTCTTTCTTTTGCGGGAGGGGCATTTATTAGTGGGAATCACTTTATATATAAAAAAAAAAAAATAACTATCGCACAGCCGGCTTGGCTCGGTGGAGGAGCGTCAACCTGTGAACCAGGAGGTTGTGGTTAGGTTTCCAGTCGGGGCACGTGCCCAGGTTGTGGGCACTGTCCCCGGTGTGGGACGTGGAGGCAGTGGATTCTCTCTCATCATTGACGTTTCTATTCTATCTCTCTCCCCTTCTTCTCTGAAATCAATACAAAAATTTTTTTAAACATATAACTGTCCCCATGGAGGGGCCTGGAGACCATTATGCTGAGCGAAATGAGCCAATCAGAGAAAGACAAGTGTCACATTATCTCACTTATATGTGGAATCTAATGAACAAAATAAACTAACAAACAAAATAGGTTCGGCGGCCTGGATGCCTGGAACAGACTGACAGATCTCAGTGGGGGGGATGGGAAGAGATTAACCAAAGAACATACGTATATACATGTATTCATAACCCACAGACACAGACAACAGTGTAGGAAAGGCCTGGGGTGGGGCAGGGGTGGGTGGAAGGGGGCAAGGGGGCAAAGGGGGGGGGGTAACACTGTCAACAATAAAATAAATAAGTAAATAAAACAGAACTGTCCCATGTTAACCATTTGGTTACCCTAAGGAGCAGTTGCCCCAGAGGGAGAACAAATGCCTGACTTTTCCCCCTTATTTGCCAGTTTTCCGAATGAATGGGTCCTGAACCTCCTCCAAAGGCACCTCTTGAAGCACCAGCACGATCTCACGGACTTTCACACATTCGGTGCGTTTTCGTTAAATGGCCAACAGAGCCCCCGCATGTGGCTCCTGAGTCTTCGATGCGGCCCTGGCCGTCTCAGACACCCCCTGCTTTCTAGTATGAAAGCTGTTGTGAGCTCATCGTCTACATTTCTTGCCCAAGCTTTGGAATCGGCCCTTCCTCCAAGAAGCCACGGTTCCTGGTAGGCCATGGTGTTGAGAAATGCTACCACATGATTTTAATAGCGTGTTACAATATGGCTTCAGATGTGGTAGGATCAGTCATGCCTCATTATTCTTTTCCAAAAATTTCTTATTCTCCCAAATGTATTTTTCCCGTTGAACTTTAGAATCAACCTGCCAAGTTCCCAGGGAAGGAGGGGGAGAACATTAAAATTCTGACTAGGATTGCATAAAATGCATAGGCTAATTTGGAGAGGGCTGAAATCTTTAACATAACAAGTTTTTCCATTCAGAAACATGGTGTGACTCTCCATTTTCTAAGTCTTCTTTTGTGTCCTTCAGTAAAGGGTACTCATTTTCTCCAGATAAATCTTAAACACTTCTGGTCGTCAAGTTCATATTTCTAAGAATGTTACAGAATTTTTTCTATGGTAAAAGGAACCTTTTAACCCATTACATATTCTTATTGCTGGGAAGTTACTAATTCTTGTCATTTATCTGACATATGGCCACATTCTTAAACTTCCATATTATTTCTACATTTTTTTGGATTTTAATATCAACAGATAATAGTATAGTTTATAAATAAGGACAAATTTGTTTTTCCCTTTTCAAGTGTAACCGCTATCATCCTGGCCGAGTGGCTCAGTTGGTTAGATCATCTTCCTGTTAACGCCAAGGTTTCAAGTTTGATCTCCGGACAGGGCACATACAAGGTCAAACAATGAATGCACACATAAGTGGAACAACACATCAATGTTTCTCTCTCTCTCTCTCCCTTCCTCCCTCTCTCTAAAATCAATCATTTTTGTAATGTCTCAAATGTAACATCTATTTATTCTTCTTGCCTTCCTACATTGCCTGGAATCTCTAACGCTGTGATTCTCAAGCAGGGTAATGTTGCTTCCCAGGGGCACTTGGCAATGTCTAAAGACATTTTTGGTTGTTCTATCATCATCTGATAGAAGCCAGGGATGCTGTTAAACATCCTGCAACGCACAAAACAACCCAGCAACAAAGAACCACCGAGTCCAGAATGTCAACAGTACCAACGCTGAGAAAGCCTGCTCTCCAAGCAATGCAGAGTAACAGCAGCAATAGAGACATCCTTGCGTAGTTACCAACTGGATGGACACACTAAGGTTTATCATTAGGAGATGTTTGTTGTTGGATTCTGAAAACTACTCTTCACCACATTAAGGAAAATTCCTGCTCCTTGTTTACTAAGTTTTCATCTGAAAACAGATATGGAATGCCATCAAATGCCTTTCGCACATCTATCTGAAATGGCCCTACAGTCTTCCTCCCTTAACTTTTTAATACAATGAATCAAATTAAGGTTTCCTGATATGGAACCACCTTTCTGAAACAAACCCTACTTGTGACAACGTATTCTCTTCATATGCTCCTGTGTCTGGTTTGCGACTCTGTTATTATAAACTTTTACATCGCTATTCGGAAACAAAATTGGCCTGTGCTTGCTTTTACATTATCTTGGTGACGTTTGGAACTGCCCTTATAAAATGAAATGTGAAGTTTTTATCTTTTCCCATACTCAGAGAGAGCATAAGAATAATCCATTCCGCCCTGACTGGTTTGGCTCAGTGGATAGAGCGTCGGCCTGCGGACTGAAGGGTCCCAGGTTCGAGTCCGGTCAAGGGCATGTACCTTGGTTGCGGGCACATCCCTAGCAGGGGGTGTGCAGGAGGCAGCTGATTGATGTTTCTCTCTCATCGATGTTTCTAACTCTCTATCCCTCTCCTTTCCTCTCTGTAAAAACTCAATAAAATATATATTTAAAAAATATGTTAAAAAAAAAAAAGAATAATCCATTCCTTGAGGGTTTGATAAAATTAGCCATAAAACCATCTGGGCCTTGTGCCTTCTGGGGGAGAGACTTTTGACAACATCTTTTAGTTCTTCCATGGTGACCAATTTCCCATATATTCTCCAACCACAGGAAGTGACAGCAGCTATTTCACGGGGAGCATCTGAAGAGGAACAGTGACCAGAATGCCGGGGGGAAGTGGGGTGGGTCGTGGGGAGCTCTGGGTTTGGAGGACTCTCACAGGTTGTGATGTCTGGGGGAGCATAGCTGTCACTCAGGTAGGCATTGCTGGGCTTGGCCACCTTTAGGTAGACGACATCATACGTGTTCTTCAGGGCTGCCACGGCATCCTCATGCATGACGTCCTCCAGCCCCACGCTGTTGACCTGGGTCAAGGGAAGCAAAGCTCAGACAGAGCCAGAAGCAGCCTCAGGACAAAGGCACTAGGAGTGAGCTGGTCACGAAGCCTAGGTCTGCTCGGGGCCACAGGCAGGACCCAAGCGAGGGGGGTCCTCACCGCCAAAATCTTGTCTCCAATCTGCAACCTCCCGTCCTTATGGGCGGCACCCCCTTCGATAATCTTGGTTACGTAGATGCTATTATCGCCGGGGATGTGCTGGTTCCCTACACCGCCTGCGATGCTGAAGCCAAGACCTAGACGAGGGAAAGGCAGAGGTGGGGGCCTGGGAAGCAAGCCTGGGGCGGGGGGCCAGGGATACAGGGCTGGAGACACAGGGGTGACTACCTTTAGGGCCCTTGATGAGCTTGATCTCCATGAGTTTCTCAGCAGGGGGCTTCCGGCGCATGACGTAGAGGCGGACTATGGAGCCGGCCTCCTTGAGGGCCTCCACAGCAGCCGAGTGGGTCACCTCCCGCACGTCCACTTCATTTACAAACAAGATGCTATCGTTGACCCTGAGGGCAGCAAGGTGGGCCTGAGCCAGGCGCTTCCTGCCACCCCGGTCCTCCCTTTGGAGGGAACCCGCATCCGAGCCCCCGTCTCCTCTTCCCACCTGAGGCGGCCGTCCTGGGCCGCAGCCCCACCAGGAATGATCTTGGTGATGAAAATGGATGGGTCGTCACCGATGTGTGGGTTGTCGGTGCCACCTGCGATGCTGAAGCCCAGACCTGAGTTACCCTGGGCAGAAGGAGGGGGGAGAAGGTTAGCTCCCCTCGCTGTCCGCTCTTGGCAAAGCAAGTGGGGAGCTGTGACCAGCGCTGGAAGGGTCAGGGTGAGGAGGCTGGCCACCTGGAGAGCAGCACAGCCAGGGAGCCGGCTCACCCTTTCCAATGTGATCTCCTCGTATTCCATCTCCCCCTCGGTCCCGTTCACCTGCAACTCCAGCACGGGCCAGAAACACAGACACAGTGAGACAGACATTCCCACCTGAGGACCTGCCCCCCAAACACGGCTGGAGCCCAGGCCACCCCGCTCCTTCCTTCTGCATCAGCCCCAAACTCTAAACAACTCACATATCCCGGGGCTTCTAGGGTGTCTGTGTTGACAATCACGGGGGGAGAATTGGCCTGTGAGGGGGGAAAAGGAGATGAAAAGCTGCCTGAGCCTTGGCTCAAGAGGGAGTCAGTCCGTAAGTAAGAGTCCGGCCAGCCCGGCTACCCTCCCAGCCTCTTAACCAAGCTCCTCTGCTACCCTTCGAGTCCCTCAAGGACCCAGCCTCTGTCCACATCACAATCACACACACGCACACGTGCACACGCTCCACTCTGCCCAGCCCAGGCCCCTGCATGGAGAAGATGTTTCAGAAGCCGGAAGGGAGAGGCAGCCAGCCGGGGAGCAGCAGATGGCACAGAGGGGGAGGGGCGGCTGGGGGAGCCTCTCACCGGATGTAACACCACCGGGTGCTCCATGCCTTATGTGCTACACACGTAACCCGGGGCTGATGTCCACCAGGGCCTGCTCCCACTCCGTGACCCGTCCCTGTCCGCCCACGTACACCCTGACACCTCCACCACCCGCCCTCCGACTGACCCTCGCCTTTACGCACATTTGCCCCCAGCCCTCGCCCAGCGGAACCCAGGGTCCCCCAGATGCAGGCCCCTCCCGCCTGCCCACCCGCCGTCTAATCCACTCTTTCCTCGGGGACCTGGTTGCCTAGCAAGAGTATCTAAGCGCCGCCAAGGCCAGGGGAGACCCACCTCCAGGAGGCCCTGTCGTCAAGACAACAGGAGGGGTGGGCGGGGCCTAGGGGCGCCCAGGCTCCCCACGCA